TAACGAGCCTCACGCCTACCTGTCCGGAGGTGCGGCTCTCGAGGTCATACCGCTCGCCGGGTCACGCAACAGTTAGAGAGCTTGGCAACCAATCAGCGAGGCCTTATTCCAGCAGTGGATAGAGGATAGCTGCTGCTGATGATAATAATGATGATGAAAGCTGAAGGTAAACAGTTCTGCAATTGGTTGAGCTGGGCGTGGTGGTGCATGCCTGTGATCCAACTCCTTGGATGTCAAGGGTTGGTGGATCACGCTGATTTATACGGCTTCCACAACCTGCTGGCCTCTGTGAAGTGGCCAGGAGATGGCGGTATGTTGAGCTGGTTTGTGAAACCAAGCCGTGTCGACGCATGAAAGTTCATAGTGTGTGTCGGGAACCTACGGGCCCACACTTTTCAACCTGGCAACACTGCTCCAATGTTAGCACCCTTAATCACATCTGTCACGACAGAGGCTTCTTCATACTCTGTCGAAACGCATTTTAACTTTCACGTAATTAGTGCACAACGCTAAGCTGCGTGTCGACGTGTGGCCTGCGAAAGGTGTGTTTAGTGGTTTGGTCTCTCAATAATCCAAAGGTTCCCTGCCCCTGATGTAAACACTATATAGATCCAAATTGTGTTGTGTTGTGTGGACGTCTAGTTGAAATCCGTCTTGCTGTGGTACTTATTTTTTTATTCTAAGAGACACTTTGCTCACCCCTGCCCCCTTTGGGGGATAGACAGAAGTTAATCGTTGCCCCACGGGACCTTTAATGGGAAGTTCACTTGGCGCGCCTGTAGGCCCCTCCCCCTACCTTTGTACCTCTTCCCTTATCTTACCCCCACCCCCCATATAAAAACCGATGCTCCACCAATCTCCTCCGCCCATCTTTGGACCCAGGAGTGCTGAGTTCGAGGCTTGAGTTTTCGTGAAGGTTTTTATTATACCCCCTTGTTGCGGTCTGTACCTTCTACCGGGGTTCTTGTTGTTTTGCAAAAGCAAAGAAAAGAGGGACACTTTGCCCTCTGGCGTTTGTCATTCAACATTGACCCGGGGCCGCCCCCGCGTGACACCACGCAGACTGCATCGAGTGCATGGCGTGCTCCGACAACACGGTTCGCGCGGGACTCACGCCCAAGTTCATCGACGTGGACACGCTGTGCGCCATGCTGCACTACGCGCCGGCGCCCGCCGCCTCCAAGCTGTTCCCGGCGCGGCCCGACCCCTCGGACCGCCACGCCCTCGTTTACGACCCCCCCGTGCCGGACTTCACGGTCATCCGTATCGAGGTGCTTGCCCTCGCACTGATTCGGCGATTTAATAATCGATTCGTCTGCCGCAATTCGTGCATCGGATTGTGCCCTTGAAGCTCGGATTATTTTCGATTCACTTATGTTGTATGCCATGGATTTGTCAACCTTACGGCCACGAGTGGTACTAAGTAAATGAATGTAATTGTTACATACGTAACTCTTCAAAATAACATGTAACCGTGAATCAATGGACATTGTGGCACGTGTAATGGTGCAGTTTTATTTGCTCCACCCCCCTTTTCGCTCACATTCTCCCCTCCATTGCCGCTACCCCCCCCCCCCCCCCCACATTTCTGCCAGGTTCCGGCTGGCGAGCGTTCGTACACATTGCGCGCACTGGACTCGGCGAGCATCGTGCTGACGGTGCGGGGCGAGGCGCAGGCTCAGGCCGCGGGTCGCGCCGTTGCGCTGGGCCGAGGGAGCGTGGTGTTCGTGTCGGCCGGCGAGAGCGTGCCGCTCACCGTGGGGCCCCAACACGGCCTGCTCATGTTCCGGGCCTGCGTGCTGCTCTGAGTCGCACACCATGCGTGTGTCACCCGCGTGTGTCGCACGTGTGTGTCGCGTGTGCATCACGTGTGCGTCACGTGTGCTGTGTGCCTGTGTGTGACACCCGTGCGACGCTTGTGTTGAAAGTTTCTGTGTCGTGTGTGAAATTTGCGTGTGGAGTGGTTGGCACCATCCACACTGTTATAAGTTCTCGTTCAGCCAGGGGGCGCTGTGGTGAGCACTTGCAATCGCAATCGTAAGGATTGTGACTTTCAAATTCCCTGCGTCCCCGACTTTCGAGCCAAGCAGAGTGCAGATAAGCATCCACTTGCTATTAGTATTAGCAACTGTTTATCCACACTACGGGAAACATCTTTCATGTGCTCGAATGAATAGTGATCATTGCATGGCAGCGTAACCAAATGTCGCCGAGAGACTGAATGCAATAGATAACAATGAAGTAAAACAACATTTAATATGATGGGGGTTTTATTTCGTGGCAGCGATCGTATGAGACCATCAACTCTCGCGACCTGGCAATCCGGTTTAGTTACGGAAATATGAACCCAGGATCTCACCCTGTGTTTCCATGGCCGTGCCAGCAAGGCTCCGCTTCTTGTGCCAGTGCTGTGGCCGAACGGTCTCGCTCCCCCGGCCCTTGCCCTCCATCATCCCCCCTTGTCCCCTCTTCCCAATTGCAATATTGCTTTCCATCAACATTCAATGGCTTGCCTGCTTGAATTGTCTCGCACTATCCCAGGCAGTCATATATTTAGAAATGTTTGAAGCGTCCTACGTCGCATCTCCTTTCTGCGTCGATCCCGTGAGTGTGCCCACGGGCAGTCCAACGCAGCTTGCTTGGCCGTGTCAGGCTGCCGTGGCCATCTGGACACGGCCCACTGGCCCGGTCCATGAACCGGGACGGCTCGGTTTAAAGTGGTCGTGGGAATGCAGCATCAGTTGGTGCCAGCTCACGCGTCTCTGCTATTTGTGTTTTAGCACTACTGAGCCACCTGCAATCGGCGTCAAGACTTTCCCCATCTCTTGTGAAAATACCAAGGGGGGCATAACAACTGGACTAATTAAGTTACGTGATAATTATTTATGAAATGGCACACTGTGCAGTACTTGCCTGTCAACTTGCGAACAAATTACAGTTTGGAAACTCAAATGTATGGGTGGTCGCAATGGGTAATGTTTTTAGCTGTAATCAGGTATATAGTCGCGTTTTAACAAAAATAAACTCGCCACATTTGTCATTTACACTGCCTTATAACTGGAATACATCTAATAAGCTAACGTGCATAATGATCCTTCGGAATTTCTGCCGTCAGCATCTGCACCAAGGACCGATGCAGATTTCACTCACCACTGGTGTTAGCCATCGCTGGGAATCGAACTCGGGTCACCTGGTTAATAGTCCAGCCCACCAACCACCGTGCCATTGTCCAAATGTAATTATGGGCCACCCTGTATATTTCCTTCCGTGATGAGGCAAGTGTTTATCACACGTGTGGTGAGTTTTTGTGTTGCTATGAAAGGGTATTTCACTTGAAAAGTGAGTGCATGCCACCAATGAAATGTTTGCAGACGCACTTTTTACATGCAGAGTGCATACACGAGTTTACTTATTTATTCGAAGCTATGAGTACGGTACTTTACCTACGCGTGTTAAATTAAGAATCGTGTTGGTACAATCGAAAACATTTGGGTTATGACCACTTTTTGAAATCCTTTATCGTTTTCAATAAAGCTTCTTGTGCAGAACCGCGCACGATGGTTTCATATCCACCGCTGGGAGTGTTGTTAGTGCTGTGCGCACCTTATACACAACTCTGCAGTGTAATTGTATTGTTATTATTCTTGCAGTGTCCACCTGGGTGTCACTGTTGTAGAACACTCAAGTTCACTCTGAAGGTGACGAGTTCAAATCCCCGTTGGGGCTGGACTTCACCTCTCCGCGTGGGGTGTGACGATTCACCCTGCTGGTGATTCAATTGTCACGATTCGGCACCACAATCCGATTCGCGAATCAATTCAACTGGTGAAATATTTCACAATATTTTATTACATGAGCATACACGTGTCATTAGCATATGCAGTAATTTGCATTAATCTAACAAATAATGCTAATTGATGCATTCACCCTCCAACAACAATTAAGGGTGGTGGAGCGATGCTCACAATGAGCGGAGCGCCAGGGGGCCGTACATCAAGGTGGCACAGTGAGCAGCACAGAAGGTGCATCTGTCAGTCATCTCATGTCCATAGTCTAAGTCGATGATCGCCAAACGTGGAGGACTGCTGCTTCTGTTTTATTTTAAAACATTGTTTCTGCAATTTTTATAGCAGGGCTCTAAGACACATTCGGCCACTATTGATTGGTGACATCGCCAACACCGTGGCGTGTAGCATAGTATCAACAATTGCAACTCACTACTCTACGGGATGTATGGCGAAAACGGCAAGCTGCAGTCAGTGGCGAATTAACCTCGTAGCACAAGTAGCTACACATGTAGCTACGGGCCACGCACTTTCAAGGGCCCCGCGCTCCATGTTGTCAAGCTATAAATTCCGGTTCAGCGATTCTGCACTTGCTCTATTACTATAGTACTATACCGCCTTCAACTTTTATAAAGGCTGGGTGTTTAAGGTTAGCGATATGTCGTATTATCTGGCTGTATAGAAAATGCAAGTAAAACATTTGTGTTTTAATGTATATTTTTATTATTTAGGGCCCCTTTATAACATATGCGGAAGCCCCCACACTAGCTTAATCCGGCACTGGCTGCAGCTTGTACACAATTATTTGCAAAATCCAACCGTGTCAGTCCGGTGCTTGCTGAGCTGCATTGGCTTCCGTTTGGTGAACGAATACAAATTAAGGTCGCACTCATTACAAATTGCTTGCCACAAATGAACCACAATACCTTGCTGGAGCATAAACCATCATGCAAACTCTGGTCATCTTCACAGCAGCTTTTGGCTAATCATCCAACAAAAATGGTTCCTGCAACACGCGCTTTCAGATGCGCTTCTGTGGCCGTCTAGAATGCTCTTCCGATATTAGGAAGTCACTGCAACTATTCACTTTTAAATCTAAATTGAAAACTATTTTTCATAACTGCTTTTTGTGTTTATTTTGTTGTGCTTCCCCCCGCTCCTCCGATTAGCACGGTTGGCTCCGTGCGGTGCGAAATAAGTTCAACATACATCAGGTTCACGTGTTGGTGAATGTTTATTTTCCGATTTTTTTACTGCAATGCTCCAACGTCTCCATCGGCAATCGGGCAAATTACCTCCCCCGAATTGAACTTGGTTAATAAGCATTTAATAATATTTGCTTAACCACCAGCTCCTGGAAACACTGATGCAGAAGCGTGGTGGACCAGTGATAAAACACTTAATTGTTACGTGATTTGCTGTGCTGAATGGCCCAAAGGCCCTCCAGTTGTGCATGGAGGGAAAGCCCAGAGATTTGGTAGTGTAAATGGGCCAATTGTTCACCCCAGGGGGTGATGGGTAATGCATTTCAGTGGCGATTCTGGCCAGCCGGAGTCGGTGGTGCCGTCGGACTGCCAGCTCTCTTGGTTGCTTTTATCATCACACGCAGCAATGTGCATTTTTGAAAATGTATTTAATGCACTCATTGTAGACCATAAAACAAAATACGTCGCTACCGCTAATCTAAGCACAGCGAGACTGTGCGGAAATGATGTAATATTCAGCGATTGATCAATAACATGTATACATGTGTTGAAGATCTACATCGCCAGCATTTTCAGCCGCATTTAAAATTGGCATCAACTAAACCATAATTAAGAAATGTCACCTTTCACTGCCACTACCTCAACCTCTCCCTGCAGCGCCCGCCCCCTCCCCCCTCCCTGCTCCCTGCCTCTCCTCCCTCCCCGCTCATCCCTCTCATCCCTTCTCATCCCTTTCTCTCTGCACCTCGGCTCCTCTTTCCCTCGTGCACGCGGCTGCCCCCCCCCCCCCCATTTGTTGCGTCATATTGACGCCGCCTGCCGCCGCCGCCTCATCGATCGCAGGAAGGTGGCCCCGAGCACCGAGGTGATGAGCAGGGTGGTCACGCCGCCCAGGACGACACCCATCAGCGCACCGCCCAGTCGCGACGTCTCGCACAGCTCGCCCGAGTACCAGAGCGCGCGGCCCGAAGGGCACCTGCGTGCGTGCGTGAGATCCACAGTGGGCACGGGGGAGGGGGGGGAGTTGTAGTGTAGCGGTTAGTGCGCCGCGCCGGGAACTCGGCGACCCGGGTTCGATTCCCGCTGGTGACGATTATATTATCTGAACCGATCCTGGGGCTCCCCTAGGTCGACTCACATGGGAGACAAAGGCGGTCGTGCGTAGCGCTGGCCACCCACCACCTCGTGTACCGTGCCAGCCTTCATAGGTGCTCGTTAACAGCACTTGCCCCAACAGTCTGTTAGGGCTATACGGGGGATCTTTGTCTTTTATCCACAGTGGGGAGCAGCAGTGTAGTAGTTGGCACGCTGGGTTTAGAACCGTAACACCCGAGTTGGATTCCCGGCCATGGCTAACATCAATAGCTATGATTTTAACTGGTTCTGGCCCTTTCCTGGATCGACTTGGCCTACAATAAGTACTTAATACGATGTGTGAACATTAACGCTGGGGAGACAAAGGCGGCCAGGCGTGTTGCTGGCCACACCGCCCCCTTGTCTGTCGTGCTGACCTGTGAACAGGTGCTGGCTAACAGCACCTGCTGCAATAGTGTATGGCTATAGGGGGATCTTTGTGAGACACACGTGACACACAATGCGACACGTGACAATACAATACACAACAAATGGCACGGCGTGTGGACCAATGCGCAGCCGTGTGTGTTTGCGACGCATGCCAGCTGACACGACAGCACACAACGCATGCCACACGACATACTCTTGTGATTCAGTTGCCACGATTCACAGTTCGAGTCAAGCATCGACAAGTTTTTCGCCATTGTGGCTAACGTAGTGCCTCTCGTAGCTGTAATCTTTCGGCGATTCTCGGCACGCTCTGCGAATCGTGATTTCACATCGATGATTCGGTTCATCCTAAACCGTCGCGTCAAGGACAAGGATTTGCACGCACAGTGGCGCTCGCCTAAATTCCTCGACAACTCGTAGCATCTTGCATCACCATCTCATCTCAACCATTTCAATGCCCCGTTGTAGCGTGGCCAGGGTGATCCCCTAAGTAGCAGCTGTCCCTGCGTGGCACAAGGTGAACGCAGCACCGGCATGCAGGCCGGTCGGTTACTCTTCTATTCATATTCTTAGGTTTTTTCGGTAAAGTCACGTAGGTAAAAAATTGAAATTAATAAAAGTAAAATTAAAATATATTATTATATTATATTATTATATTACATTATTTTATTTTATTTTAATTTTACTTTTATTAATGAAATTTTTTTACCTACGTGACTTTACCGAAAAAAACCTAAGAATATGAATCCTTGCAGTCACGAAAGCTTCAAATCTAGAATTACTCTTCTATTCCTTTTCGGTCGCTTTCACCTGCAGCTGGCGCGCCCGCCCTCCACCAGGCACAGGCCCCCGTTGCGGCACGGGTTCGGCTCGCAGGGGCCCAGCCCCTGCGCCTGTTCGGAGCCGTCGGCGTGGCGCCGTGACCTCGCCAGCCTCTCCGCCATCGGCGCGCGTCCGGCGTCCCCGCGAGCCGGGGCGGCGCCGTCTCCCGAGATCGGAGCGAGCGGCTCCCGCGGGGCGATGACATCGGCGGCGGCGGCGTCGATGTTGGCGAAGATCTTGTCAACGGCGACGTCGTCGCCAGTGGCGATGGCGCTGACGGGTGCGACCGGCACCTCCGTCTTGTTGAGGTGAGTGAGATCTGTGGAGAAAGAAAGACGTTGTTAAGCTGCGGTGTTGTGGTGGGAGGGGTAAAGAAAGGGGTTCTCATGAAGATGTCTTCTCACGCAAACGATGTCTCTAATTTGTGTTCTTTGATCCATGTGTTCCTCTTTCTCTCTGTGTGTAATTCCCAGCGTGCACCTCTGCATGCTTATTTGCACACTTTTCGCAGACACGTACATATATACAGTAGATAGACTGATAGGTGACCTAACCAAGGAAGAGTCAATTGTGACCAGAAGTCTCTTTTTTTCAAGAAGATTCATGACAATTCATCGAATCTCTGGGGGGTCAGGAGGCTGCTCAGCCCAAAATGAAATGCACAGTGTGCCATTTCATCTTGTGCAGAGCGGACCACCGCGTGCGTGCACGGGTGACACTCGCCGTTAAACTCGACGAAGATGTAGAGGTCTCCGCCCTTGAGGAAGTCCCTCTTGCGTAGGTACTCGTGCGAGATGAACGTGGGCCAGCCCAGCAGCGGCCCGCGGAAACAGTTGCACAGTGGATCGAAGTTGCCCGTCACGGAAGGACGGTCCCAGAACAGCTTGTCCGTGTCTGTGCATCCCCGCAAGACGGGCAGGCAGGCAGGGACATAAGTAAGCAGACAGACAAACATAAATATAGGCAGAGAGACAGACAGACAGTCAGCAAAGTAGGTGGACAAGAAGGCAAGCAGACAGACAGGCAAGTAAACAAAGAGGCAGACAGATGGGACATGCAGACAGGGAGACAGGTACAGAGAGGCAGGAGAGAGATGGGTAAGACGGGTGATAGCGGGCAAAAGAGGGAAGGTAGAAGGCGAGGAGACAGACGAAACTCACTCTGGACGAGCCGCGTGTCGTCCGAGAGGAACGTGCGCACGTTGGACATGCACAGTCGCACGTCGCTGTTCTGGTCGACGATGGTGATGACGGCCTGGCGGTTGGCGGCGGGCCACTCGAGCACGTCGTCGTCGGGCCTGCTCAGCAGCTGGAATCGCACGCCAAGGTGGCTCGCGTTGGACGAGCTGAGCTCGTGCGGGTACACGACGATGGCGAAGCCGTAGCCCTCAGGGCTGACGAACGCCGGGCTATAGATCTTGGTTCCCGGCACCGACGTATTCATGAGGTTGACGGCGTCGGGGATGCGCATGACCCCCGTCGGGCAGTTCCGCTCGGAGAGGCTCACGTCGTCCAGCAAGATGCCGCCGGCGGCGGAGGCGTTGGAGGAGCCGCGCACCGCTTGGAAGACGTAGCGGAACTTGACGGCGGCGGGCAGCACGAGGTGAGCCATCTCCCACTGGTTCATTACCGAGGCTTGAAGACGCACGGGAAATAGACGGCGGGAGGTGGATAGGAGACAGGGAGGTGGATAAAGGGATGGGGAGGTGGAGGTGAGACCGGGGAGTTGAATATGAGATGGATCGGAGACGAGGAGATAGGGAGACATAATTTAATATATTTACTATGCTTGACATATCATTACATCTCAAATTGGATTGACATGCCTTATAAATACAACAACCAGTTTTCTCTACAAAAAAACATACAAACTACATACGATATATCAACAAGAAGCATTAATTATCCATCCATTTCCCCATTCATACGTGCGAGACAGACAGGAGAGACAACAGGACAGAGATGACACAGGATAGAGACGTCGACGAGGTGGTACAAACAAAACGGGAACCGATTCTCAGATTGAATCGCGTCGCTGAATCTGTGATCGTTTCACCGAGCCCCTCGGTTTTGTGCCGGCTCGGCCGCCTCCGACCCGGCCATTGTGGACCCCCGGCCCCGGCCGTCGCTCGCTCACCTTGCACGGTGCCGATCTTCACCATCTTGCGCACGGCGCCGGTGCCGTCGTCCAGCCTGACCCAGATTGCGAGGACGTCCTTGTCGCTGCCGGTCATCTTGAAGGAGAACTGCAGACACTGGCTGCTGCGGCGCGGGTAGTGTATGCGCGACTCGAGCAGCGCCGAGCTCCCGGCCTCGCCCACGCTCGTGTCCACAAACATGAAGCGGCCCTTGCCTGCCGGGGCCAGGGTCAGAGGTCGCGGTGTGTTAGGAGGTTGAGGGGCCGGCCTGGTATGCAGGAGGGTCGTGGGTTCTATCCTGACCCTGACGCCTGCTGTATAGTTGGAGTTTGCGGTGTCTCTCTCCTCGTGGTCGCGTGGATTTTTCCCCGGGTCCTCTGGTTTTTCCCCCCAACATTTAGAAACATGCGCATATAGTATTTGGCTGCTATAAATGCCCATGTAATACGCCACTTCGTTGAGCTATCATTTGTGGCCAGGTTGCTTCTGAAAAAGAGCTATATAGCTCAGTGCGCCTTACTTGGTAAAATAAAAAAAATATTAAATAGATTAACAGTTATAGGTTTAGAGTGTTGTTCCACATTTGGGATCCAATTGTGAGATAGGGTGTGGTTCTGGTGTTAGAGCAGGGTGAGGGTTAGAGCTGGGTCAGGGTTAGGGTCAGGTTAAACTCTAGAGTAGGTTCAGGGTCATACCGTTTATGGTGAGGAGGTAAGAATCACCGTTATGGTTACATTCTGTGTTTGACTAGGTTAGAAGTTAAGGGTCAGTGTGAAGGTTAGACCAGGGTTATAGCATTTTGAGGGTCTTTGTTAGGAGGTCAGAGGTCAGGAGTTTATGGTCAAGGTTAGTTCAGGGTCAGGAGTTCGTCAACAGGCGAGGGGTTAGGAGTTCAATTCAGGGTCAGGAGTTGAGCATTTCGATGGGAAGTTTATGGTCTTTGGTCACGATGTCAGTCAGGGTTATGTCAGGTTTAGGAGGTCAGGGTTAAAGGCCGAGGGTCAGGGAGGTCAGGGTCAGATAGAGGTCTCACCTGGACACTTCCCGCCCACTGTGTGGTCGTTCCCGTTGGGGCCCCCTGACCACATGTGGACCCAGTCGCCCGTGTCCTGCTGGTCTTGGATCATCCCGCAGATGTTCATCTCCTCGAAGTCGCACTGGTCGAGCAGTGTAGTGGTCGAGGCTGGGACGGGAGAGAGGAGGGGGGTCGAGGAGTGGCGAACGACCAGAGAATGAGGGCAGCGGGATGAAGCTTTGAAATTTCAGCCGCCGAGGAACCCGTAGCCCCGCTGCCGCTTCAACGGTGGAGATGCCGGTAAACGGGTAGCGACGACGGATTGGAAGTGTTTATGGATAATGATACACTGGCGCCTCGTGAGCACACAAGGGTTGATTCTAAGAGCCCTCCCCACCCTCCACCACCTTTGGTTGTCAAGTTAAAAGCAGAATGACAAACGCCTTTCAATGCATCGATTGTAATATGACTATGATGATGATGACGACAGCTTTAAAAGAAACCAAAGTGTGATGATGATGAAAGATAGTGAAATGTCCAAGCGTCTCTTAACATGTGCCCGGAGGGAACAGTTGCAACCAATCACTGCATTCAATTACTCTTCCTGCTCTCCAAAGCAGATAAGGCCCTCTTGAAGGAGAACATAACAAAAACAAGCTTGCAGTTTGGAAACGGGATATTTTTTTCTCTCACTTTCAGTAAATCACACATCCCTGTGCTGCCATACTTCACCATGCCGCGCAGTGGCAGCGGGTGAAGGCGAGAGCCCTGTACCGATTCACGTACCCACTCACCAGGGCGCACTTCCCCCCCTCTCCCCTACCTCCCCCTACCCCATCCCTTTCTCCCCTCTACTTTGGTTCCTCTTCCCTTACCTTCCCTTCCCCATATGAACACCTACCACTTTCCGCTCGCAGTCCCTAACTGAGTGGGGGGCAGTGAGCCCCCTTCCCAGAACCCAGGAGCACTGAGCTCGTAATTCGGTCCGCAAAATTCCTGTACCCCCCACCCAACCGTTCCCCTTCCTTGTTACGGTTCGTGCCTTTTACGAGCCTCTTGCCAAACGCAAACTATAAAATAAAATCATTGTTCACACGGACATTGTGGCCCGAAGCCCTCTAGTTGGATTCCTGGGACCATTGCGATCATCGGTGGCGAGTGCCACCCCCCCCCTCCCTCCTGTCCCTTCGTTAACCCACACGACGCAGCGTGGTTCAAGCAGTACGCTCAACCCAACGCCCCCCCCCACCCACCACGACCCTGGGGAGTCCTTCGCCTAGCCTAGCAGCGAACCGAATAAGGGCCGTTAATCTCCGGCCCGGGTCGTGACTTGCGAGCCGAGCGACAACCCACTGCAGCCGTAGAGGCGGTTCAGCTTGAGCAGGTCGTAGCCGCTGAAGTCGAGGCGCTGGCCGATGACGCTGTCGAATTCGGGGATGTTGGTGGTGATGGTGGGCACGCCGTCCTGCTTGTTGAACGAGAGCGGCGCGTAGTGCATCACCGACTCGTAGTCGTACGGCGTGTTGAGGTTGTCCACCTCGTCGTCGGGGTACTTGTCGAAGTTGTTCTCCTTTCCTGTTTTGCGCGCACGCGCGGGGCGGGGTCAACGGAAAGGTCAAAAGCCCGGAACGGGCACGAGTTGCCTCTGGGCCAAACTGCGGCAAAGCAAGGTGCTCGGCACACGGTTCACGTCGCATGCGAACTTCCCTCGGGCGTCAAACGGACTGAAGTTCTCGCCACTTGTACACGGAGGACTATCTCGAATATTATTATTATTTTTATTCCCAAGGCTCGCCGAGACTCGAGTCTCTTTTGTCGCGATGGTTTCTGCTACATTGGGATGTTTTGTCGTGTTACCGTCATCGCTGTGTCACAAGCTCAAGACATTAATTTGCTTGTTCCCCTCTGCCCGTGACGCGAGAGCCGTAAACTAAACACGCACACCGATTTGTGTCCAGCGTCTCGGGATGCGTTCACACACAAGCGCACCAACGCTTATTTTGGAAACGCGCGCATTTGCTCCCCGACCGCCTTCGCATCGCAGCAGCATTTGCTGCCGGAGGAATCTCGCACCATCCGACAAAGCGCTCACGCACCGGCCAAGATCTCGTCCCAATGGATGGTGACGTAGTCGTCGCGGTCGGAGCGCGACTGCTCGTGCCAGAACCCCACCGCGTGGAGGATCTCGTGCTCCACCACGGCCTTCTGGTCGCAGTTCTGACCGATCGACAGCTCCTGTCCGCCGCGGACGTTCCCCACCGATGACCAGCACCTGTCGCGGGGACACGGCGATGGAAATGAGCGGCGCAGCTATCGTGGGGCGCGCAGGCGGTGCGACTGCACCCACGGTCTACGGGCCGGAGGGGCCCAGGCAATGGGATATGAAGAGGGGTGGAGGGTGGTGGTGGGATTGGACAAGGGGCCTTGTTGCACGAGGGCCTATGCCATCCGAGTGACAATAATAGCAAGGACCAATGATTGAAGCGAGGGGACCGCATGAGGGCCTAGTTTCCCTGTGCTCCTTCACGGTACAATGTCGGGGGGACGCAGGGGTAACGCATCACCTGACCTCGTACGTGGACACTTGACAGTGGATTTTTGTTTACCAGCTGGGGGCTAACCGCTCTTCCGTGCCCCCCCCCCCCCCCAGAGTGAGATGAGTGGGGAGAAGTAGGAGAGTGCATGGAGTGGGAGTAGAGTGAGAGTGGAGAGGTAGGAGAGTGAGTGGAGTGGGAGTGAGGTGAGAGTGGAGAGGTAGGAGAGTGAGTGGAGTGGGAGTAGAGTGAGGTGAGAGGGGAGAGGTAGGAGAGTAAGCGGAGTGGGAGTAGAGTGAGGTGAGAGTGGAGAGGTAGGAGAGTGAGTGGAGTGGGAGTGAGGTGAGAGTGGAAAGGTAGCAAAGTGAGTGGAGTGGGAGTAGAGTGAGGTGAGAGGGGAGAGGTAGGAGAGTAAGTGGAGTGGGAGTAGAGTGAGGTGAGAGGGGAGAGGTAGGAGAGTGAGTGGAGTGGGAGTAGAGTGAGAGTGGAGAGGTAGGAGAGTAAGTGGAGTGGGAGTAGAGTGAGAGTGGAGAGGTAGGAGAGTGAGTGGAGTGGGAGTGAGGTGAGAGTGGAGAGGTAATAGAGTGCGTGGAGGAGAGTAGAGAGATGAAGGTGAGGCGGGGGTGAGTTCATGAAGGTCACAGCACTCTGGGTACCAGGGGAATGGTGTTGCTATCGCAAATTGTCTAAGGTCAGAGCCGTTGAGACCACGAGGTTCAAAGTTCGCTCTCTACACGAATGTATTATACAGCCGCATTACTGTATCCGTTCCAGCGGTATTTCGATTCATTGCCCTCCAACCCCGGAGATTTGTTGAATTATCACGATTAGGGGGTCATGTTTACATCACGACCACCTCATCGAATCAAGGTGGGATTGAATCATGAAATGCTTGACAATGGTCCCCTCCTAGTTGCATACATGTGTGTTGAACTTCTTCCGCACCGCACGTAGCCAACCGTGCTAATTAATAAAGTACAAGCCAGAGGTGGAACGGTGGCGCAGTGGTTAGTGCACTGCCCGATGAACCCAGTGACCTCGGTTTGATTCTCAGCGAAAACGAACATGAGTGGCGACTCACATCTCAACTGGCTCCTCGGCCTCCCCTTTCACCAATCTGAGCAGCGTGGTGAAGTATGGTCAAACAACTCCCATTGACCGACGCTGCTTGCGGAGGTTTCCATCCAGCAGTGGCTTGACTCGATAATTAGTAGGGGTGCGTGGTTACGCGTGCGTGCGTGCGAGCTCCGCACAGTGCCTTATCACAGCAAGGGGACGAGGAGATATCTCTGCTGTCTGTTATCACATCGTCGAGATTGGCCTGGGCCAAGGTTCATTGTCTCTGGTGGTGAAACACTTGACATGAACTTCTATGTTGGGAGGGAGGCACGGGTGTGGGATCATACAAAACAAAGTGGGGGGGGGGGGGGCGGGGGTTGCGAGGGTTGTGTTCCCAGGGGGTGCCCTCACAATTTGGAACAGGTGGGATAAGAAGGAGGGGGGGGGGATCATGATGTGCCATCCTTTTATTAACAGCCTATTGGGTTTTGAAGTGTGGTTAGGACTGAGATTAGGGGGCTAGTTCCGAGTTTCGAGGCATGTCTGAGTTCTGCATGTGCGTATTATGTTGAACTTCTTTCGCACCGTGCGTCAATCGGAGGTGCGGGTGTAAGTGTGCTGTAGAGGTTAGGACACGATCGAGGTTAGACTTAGCGCTTGGGTTAGGGCTGCTGCTGTTAGGACTTGAGCTGGGGTTAGCGTTAGGACGAGTTGTTCAGGTCAGAGGCTTGGGACGAGGCGTAGGGCTTGAGCTCGGGGTCAGGCTGGGGCAGGGGTCGGCAGCCTGTGGCTCTTTAAGGACTCACATTGCGGCTCTTGGAATATTGAGGGTTTTTTGTATTTTGGTTGCCAACCCCTGACCATGGGAGTCCAGTTTACCATAGAAATCCAATTTACCATGGAAGTCCAGTTTACCATGGGTAGGAGTCGGCAACCTGTGGCTCTGGACCAGCATGCGCCTCTTTAAGGGCTGCTTCGTGACGTTATTCATTAAGGACCGACGTTTCGTATTCACCAAGGTGCATTGCGGCTCTTGAAATATCGAGTTTTTAAAAATATATATATACCGAATTCGAAAAAAAAAATTATTCCTGCTATTTTGATTGCTCGGGCTCGTTGGGGGTCATGGTATAAAGGTTTTTGGTCGTCTGGTTCGGTGGAGCTTGTGTCGGTGAGGCGAGCCGCGCGCCCCGGACGCACGCACCCGCCGAGCTTCTGGAAGCGGATGAAGTCGCGATCGCCCGCGTAAGGTCTGAAGTCGAGGCACGACTTGAGTCGGAACTGCTCGAAGGCCTGCAGGATGACGCCCTTGGCGTTCAGGTCTGGGTCACCGTGGGGGGGGGGGGGGGGATGGGGGGGCGAGATTGGAGAGGTGATGAAGTGTTTGTTGAAGGGTTATGAATGGGGGTTCAGGGAGGGAGTGAAGAGGTAGTTGGATGAAGATGTTCACGGTAACCCGGGGGACGTAGGGGTAAAGGTCGCGTTTGCCGGGGCTGTCCCGCAAGAGTTTAAACTTTGTTTGCCAGATATAAAAATAACGCAAAGTGAGTTTCTGGCAGGCCGCAAAATATATATATATAGCAACGCCACTGCATAGACATTATGTGGTCTTAAATATATAGGAGTTACACCACAATGCGGTCAATCGTCATCATGACCAAGCCACGATCTTCCCGCTGTTCCGTGAGGGGTCTCGATGGCGCCATGTCTATGACGCACTTGGGCCGTCACTTTGAAAAAAAAAATTTTCATCAGAGAAGCTGAACACACAACTTGCGTCGGCCATCCCCGGACACAAGAGTGTCAGAGTTATTTCCCTCTCCAAAATAGCACCGTATTGCTCTTTGCGTTGTCTCGTTATGAGGTAGTGGCTCGAGGAGGAGTTAGTGGTGAGGAAGAGGAGGAGGAGTGAGTGGTGAGGAGGAGGAGTGAGTGGTGAGGAGGAGTGAGTGGTGAGGAGGAGGAGTGAGTGGTGAGGAGGAGGAGTGAGTGGTGAGGAGGAGGAGTGAGTGGTGAGGAGGAGGAGTGAGTGGTGAGGAGGAGGAGTGAGTGGTGAGGAGGAGTGAGTGGTGAGGAGGAGGAGTGAGTGGTGAGGAGGAGGAGTGAGTGGTGAGGAGGAGGAGTGAGTGGTGAGGAGGAGGAGTGAGTGGTGAGGAGGAGGAGTGAGTGGTGAGGAGGAGGAGTGAGTGGTGAGGAGGAGTGAGTGGTGAGGAGAGAGTGGTGAGGAGGAGGAGTGAGTGGTGAGGAGGAGTGAGTGGTGAGGAGGAGGAGTGAGTGGTGAGGAGGAGAGAGTGGTGAGGAGGAGGAGGAGTGAGTGGTGAGGAGGAGTGAGTGGTGAGGAGGAGGAGTGAGTGGTGAGGAGGAGAGAGTGGTGAGGAGGAGGAGTGAGTGGTGAGGAGGAGTGAGTGGTGAGGAGGAGAGAGTGGTGAGGAGGAGGAGTGAGTGGTGAGGAGGAGGAGTGAGTGAGTGGTGAGGCGTGGTGGGGTCATTGGGCTGGTTCAGCAAAGCATGCATCAATAAAAACACGCAAATGACACTGTCCCATCACGTTTGCACATCGTTTGTCCTTCGAAGAAAATTTTAAACCACTCAAGCAAATAAGCAAATCACTCTGCTGCATTATAGTACTAATGATAAGACTTGATAATCTTAACACAAGGACAAAACGTGATAATAGGAAGTGATTATAGATGATATAAATAGAGGTAACTGTAGCAACCACTCCCAGGTGTAACGGACGATTGCCTTCGTTGCAGTGGGTTTGGCCCCATGTGCCGCTGCTACATCAGAACATCCGTCTCTCGCAATGCTATTGGGTAACGTCAATAAATATATAGTAACGTCCCAAGCTTCACCCAGCAAAGCCCGAGTCCCCAGACTCTCTAAAGATGACCCCTGCATTGGGATGCAAGACCAATTCCATCCGTGAGCGGGAATCGAACGCGGGTCGCTGGGTTCTCAGCGCAGTGTGAGAACGACTGCACAGCCACTCTCCACACACAGCCTGTAACAGACTAGATTTGAAGCTTTCGTGACTGCAAGGATTCATATTCTTAGGTTTTTTTCGGTAAAGTCACGTAGGTAAAAAATTTAAATCAATAAAAGTAAAATAAAAATAAAATAAAAAATAAAAATCACGACGTTTCGGAGGCAACACAAGCTTCCGTCTTCAGGTGGAACCGTCACAGCACGATAGCTGTCGTGCTGTGACGGAAGCTTGTGTTGCCTCCGAAACGTCGTGATTTTTATTTTTTATTTTATTTTTATTTTACTTTTATTAATTTAAATTTTTTACCTACGTTACTTTACCGAAAAAACCTAAGAATCTGTAACAGACTGTTGGGGCAAGTGTTTATACTCTGTGTTGTTTGCGAGCACCTACGAAGGCCGGCACTGCACGCGAGGGGGTGGGTGGCCGGCGATGTTTACACACCGTACCGGGTACTCATTTGAGGCTGAGTCGACCTAGCAGAGACCCAGGACCAGTTAAAATAATCGTCATTGGTGTTGTCCGTGAGCGGGATTCCAACTCGGGTAGCCGGGTTCGTAGCGGAGCGCACACTCCGCTGCGCCACCGCTCCCCACAAGGTCATTAAACCAAAGACAAAGATGCCCTCCCCCTCTCCCATATAGCCTCACACACAACAACAACAACCGACATTCGCCACTAAGTGGCGGTGACGTCACCACGACGCTTGTGCCAGGCCACGTGCACCTTGAGGCCACGTGAAGTGTCGAACGCCCGCTGGCAGGAGGCCTTACACACACACTAATCCACACACACACACTAAACCAGAAACACGTGGGCTCGAGTGACAGGGTCCTCACCCAGGCTGTCGGAGAGGATGTATGGGATGGGCATGGGCCATATGTATTCATCGCCAATGATGGAATTCCTCTCCTTCTGCAGAAACACTCACCCCGACAGACAGCTGCAGCGCTCGTGTCCACATGATAACAGAACTCGCGTGGGTAGGATAGCGGTCATCTCGTGGACATGATGTATGTTGAACCTCTTTCGCACCGTACGTAGCCAACCGTGGCCAATCCGAGGTGCGAGGGAACGACAACAAACTAAACACGAAGATCAGTTCGAAAGAAATGAGTTTTCAATCTAGATTAACAAGTGAATAGTTGCAGTGACTTCTTAATATCGGAAGGAAGAGCATTCCAGACGGCCACAGAAGCGCATCTGAAAGCGCGCGTTGCAAGTAACCACCTTTGTTGGATTACCAGCCAAAAGCCGCTGTGAGGATGACCGGAGTTAAATGATATCCGCTACCATATGGCCCCGACAACTATTACATGGCAACGAATGTTACATTACAACAAGTATACTGGTAGGAACTTCCTGGTTACACCAGCCCATAGGGGATTATTGTGTCCGTCGTGCAGGGAGGGTTGGGTGGGGAGGGAGGGGCTGGGTGGGGAGGGGCTGGGTGGAGAGGGTGGGGGGTGGGAGGGGTGGGGCTGGGTGGGGAGGGGCTGGTCACCCCGTGGTGCCCTTATAAAACTCAACGTTTAACCTACTCACGCCGGCTTGTGCCCGCCCTCACAGTCGGGCATATTTTCGGAATACACCACGCCGCCGTTGACCCTGCAGGCCATTGACCGATCAACCCAACGTGTTCCTACCAGCTCCCTCCGCAGGAATGTGTTTATCAGGCAGCTGATGATATCACCGATGCGTCGATTGCAATCGACTCCGACGCTCGCGATCATGTCGAGTTTGCCTACAACGCGCAGGCCCCATGTCTCACGCGAGTTGTTGACGTTCAAGGCTGTCACGGCAATTGGCACTGCACCGATGAGCCGGGGATAGCGAGACAAGGGGCAGATGTTTTACGTTCGCCGTGGAGCAGACGGCGCGTAGCGATGCTGCGGTTCATACACCGCTGTGGAGGATACAAGTCACGGGTGTGTGTCTGTTGAACTTCTTTCACACCGTACGTAGCCAAGTCGCAACGTGAATTATAATTAGCGGACAATTGGCCTGCGTCACGCAATCCTGCTCAAATGATGCACTGCCAGATGTGCCGCACTTGTGGTTGATGGGAAGGGAAAGACGACGAAGTGTGATTTGTGTTTGCTGTGCTTGCTGCAGTCGGATGGTGGGTGATGTGAGATCCAGTGGAGTTGCGTGAGGTTTTTATTATTATTATGAAATTTAATGAGTTTTTGATATTTTGTCTTACCGGGGACGATGGCCCGAAGATATCGCCCTGAGTCAATCGAACCATGACATCTGGAAACAAAACACAACGAGGTTTCGTAACAGGGACGTGTCGATACGCGTTACAGACTGAGCGGCCCTACTCTTAGTTTGTTTTCCGGTAAAGTCACGTAGGTAAAAATAAATAATAAAATAACTGGAATAATAATAGAAATAAAATAACAGAAATAATAATAGAAATTAAATAATGGCCTTGACTGACTGATGTGAATGTTCATGATGTTCAGTTTTACTGTACGTCATTTAGCAGAGTCTATGTGTGAACGTGTCTGCATGTGGATATGTCTGTGTCTCTCAATGCTTTGATGTATCTGCGTTTGTCTTTATGTTGACTGTGTTGCCATGTCGATGTGTTAACATGTCTGTGTGTGTAGTTATATGTTGACTGTGTGCTAGTGTGTGTGTGTCTATGTGTTCACGTGTTTGTGTGTATGTGTGTCTACGTGTTGACTGTGTATTTCCATGTCTGTGTGTGTGAGGTTTAACTGACCCGGTCCTGGGCCTCCCCTAGGTCGACTCAGCCTCAAATGAGTACCTGGTGTGGTGTGTAAACATCACCACTGGGGAGACAAAGGCGGCCGGGCGTGGTGTTGGCCACCCACCCCCTCGTGTGCCGTGCCGCCCTTCATAGGTGCTCGCTAACAGCACTTGCCCCAACAGTCTGTTAAGGCTACACGGGGGGCCTTTGTCTTTGTTTCGTGTCTAAGTGTTGACTCATGTGTGTTGACGTGTCTGCTTGTCGATGCCTCACCGCGGTTGATCTGAGGGATGTCGATGACATCATCAAGGTCCTCCTCTGTGGGACAGGACAATCGTTCACGAAAACAAAAACTTTTAAAGTTCATGGTCAGACCCAGGCGCGCTCCGGTAACTTTTCGGCTCCAACACTCCTCCTCCCCATTGTTTTAACATCACTTCACTGCAGCGATGCCGCCGTGCAATCCCTGAATATTGTGGCACCGCAACTTTGTGCCATCGCTTCCTTCGCCTTCTGCCCGTTGTGGTAAAGTGCCGGATTATCCCAGTCGCATAAGTAGCTACAAATGTAGCTACAAATGTAGCTACAAATGTAGCTACAAATGTAGCTACAAATGTAGCTACAAATGTAGCTACAAATGTAGCTACAAATGTAGCTACATATGTAGCTACAAATGTAGCTACAAATGTAGCTACATTTGTAGCTACAAATGTAGCTACAAATGTAGCTACGGGCCCCGCGCTAAATGCTTTCGAGCTATCAATTCCGGTTGAGTGATTCTGCACTTGCTCTATTACTACAGTACTATACCGCCTTCAACTTTTATGAACGACTGGGTGTTTAAGGTTAGCGATTTGTCGTATTATCTGGCTGTATAGCAAATAAAAAAATACAATGACTTTACTATACAAGTAAAAAAAATTGTGTTTTAGTCTTTATGGATTTTTTTTTATAATTTAGGGCCCCTTATAACAAATGCTACAGGCCCCGGCACTGTCAACACCACCTCCGTCTGGTATTAGGTCTCCCACTTGGTCACTGCCCTCTCTGTCTGCCCCTCTGGGTGGCACTGCCCCTCTCGGTGACCTGCCCTCCTCCACCCATGGCAACCTCATCTTCCACATTACATCCCTTATTACCTTTCTGCCACATTCTATTACCAACTTCGCAAGTTGCTGACCCACTCTTGCGATGACATTCACAGCACCGTCCCTCTGCACGCACGCGTACTCAAAAGCGAGTCGCTGATTTTATAGCTGCTCTGTCCAAATCCTTGCCCGCCAGACATTGCATGACTGTGCATTATTTGTAAATTAAAAGATTAAGAAAAGTGAAATAAATGTAACGGTACCTATTTTTCCATCCGGATTCACCTGGAAAATAAATCAACACAACGCGTTAATTATTATTATTCCACAGTCAAACAATAAAACATACAAAATAAAACATTATTTTAACAGATAAGGTCCACTGAGCTATATAGCTCGTTTTCAGAAGCGACCTGGCCACAAATGACAGCTCAACGAAGTGGCTTATCACGTTTCTAAATGTGGAGGGGACAACCCGCAAGACCTGAAGAAAAATCCACACGACCACTGCGAGAGAGACACCGCAACCTCCACATACACAGCAGCAGGCGTCAGGGTCGGGATCGAACCCACGACCTCCTGTACACCAGGCGAGGTAGTTAACATCTCCTAGCCACCGTGATGATGATGATGAGAGACACGCAACCTCCAAATATACAGCAGGCGTCAGGGTCGGGATCGAACCCACGACCTCCTGTATACCAGGCGAGGTAGTTAACATCTCCTAGCCACCGTGATGATGAGAGAGAGAGAGAGACACGCAACCTCCAAATACACAGCAGCAGGCATCGCTTTGTTTTACCTCGTCTCTGTTCTACCTCAGCACTCACCGTTGTTTAACACAACCCCTCATGTCAAGCTAGCACTTGTCCATCACCACACACACGCACACATCCCCAACCTTCATTCCCCTCACTCGATATTTGTCGGGAACGCTGCCGATGCTGACACGGAGCGGGAAAGGAAATATTGGCGTAAGGCACTACAACTAGAGTGCAATGTCCGCCTATCCGTGATAAACCTAGGGATCCTATATAATTCTACCCTATACAGTCATCCTATATATGTATATGTGTGCACATTTCCGCACACACCACCACAACCACAGTAGCAGTGATAGTGTGCACATGTCCACCCTGTGATGTTGTCCTGTAACTGCCCCCACTGCTGACGGTCTTGGGCGATGGCCATCCTCGCGACACACGTTAGACACATGAGATAGACACACGTTAGACACATGAGATAAACACACGTTAGACACATGAGATAAACACACGTTAGACACATGAGATAAATACACGTTAGACACATGAGATAGACACACGTTAGACACATGAGATGTAAACACACGTTAGACACATGAGATAAACACACGTTAGACACATGAGATAAACACACGTTAGACACATGAGATAAACACACGTTAGACACATGAGATAAACACACGTTAGACACATGAGATAAATACACGTTAGACACATGAGATAAATACACGTTAGACACATGAGATAGACACACGTTAGACACATGAGATGTAAACACACGTTAGACACATGAGATAAACACACGTTAGACACATGAGATAAACACACGTTAGACACATGAGATAAATACACGTTAGACACATGAGATAGACACACGTTAGACACATGAGATGTAAACACACGTTAGACACATGAGATAAACACACGTTAGACACGTGAGATAAATACACGTTAGACACATGAGATAGACACACGTTAGACACATGAGATGTAAACACACGTTAGACACATGAGATAAACACACGTTAGACACATGAGATAAACACACGTTAGACACATGAGATAAATACACGTTAGACACATGAGATAGACACACGTTAGACACATGAGATGTAAACACACGTTAGACACATGAGATAAACACACGTTGGACACATGAGATGTAAACACACGTTAGACACATGAGATAAACACACGTTAGACACATGAGATAAACACACGTTAGACACATGAGATAAATACACGTTAGACACATGAGATAGACACACGTTAGACACATGAGATAAACACACGTTAGACACATGAGATAAATACACGTTAGACACATGAGATATAAACACGCGCGGAGAAACCCCGTACGACCGCTTCCGCGTCTCACCGAGAAGGCGACCGCATGTCCCACGACCAGAGCGAGGGTCAGGAGGAGACCCCACAGGCTCGCCATGATCCCAAATGCCACTTTTTTGGGTGTCCTCTTTCTTGTCCTCCGCGCCGTTTCAACGCCAACGCAATTCCCTCTGAAGACCCTCTCCCTTCTCCTGCCGGGGCCTCTGTATCTCTGCTCGGCACTTTAAAACTCCTCCTGGACTTTGCCCAGCCAAGGAGCAAAGTTCTCGGCTGTCGGAGATATCCGCTACCTTCATTCACCGTTATCGCGACGAATCGCCTTACAATGTCTTTATTAGGCGTGTTTGGGGGTTGTAACGGGCTGGAGAAGAGATGGAGCTGATGCGGTACGGGAGGATGTGGGGCTGAGTGGACGTATGTGCCAGTGGTGTCAAGATCGGCCTCTGTGGAGGAGGAGGATCGTGAAGGACGCTGCTACTGGGCAGTCGGAGGCAGCCGCCCTCCAGCAACAACGGAGGGCCGAGGAGCGACGTTCACAACAACGAGCGGTGCGCTGGGTGGATAAAGCGCAGCAAGTTGGCACAGTAGGGGACACAGGTGGTGGATCTCGCGGCCATCTCAGTCAGCGAGCCTTCGACAACTTCACGTGGCCTCAACGTGCACGTGGCCTGGCACAGGCGCCGTGGTGGCATCACTTAGTGACGAATGTCGGGTATTGTTGGTTGATAGCAATTGTGGCTAAGAGGTCGTCCATAAATGACGTCACGCACCTAGGGGGTTGGTGGGGTCAGACATTTGTGACGATGTGTGACGAGGGGGGGGGGGGGGTTGAGAAGTGTGACGTCACGTAAAAATGCGCAACTTTAAATAAATATAGACAACACGTTCTACTTAATTAAATATACTTTTTAATAAATGTTTCTCCTACAACATCAGAGTGCAGCGCCACATTAAATACGCAATGACAATAGTTTAAAGCGATTTGAAGCATGTTTATGGTTTTGGGGGGGGGGGGGCAGAGCTTTGTGACGTCATATTTGAGGGGGGTCTGACTTTTTGTGACGCTGTGTGACGAGGGGGGGTGGGTCAAAAATCGTCCAAAATCGCGTGACGTCATTTATGGACGGCCCCTTAGTCCAATCCAAGCGGTCCTTAATGCTGTCGGGTTCAGTTTACGCCACGAGGAGGCGGCAGAGACTCAGGCAAGGGGGCCTTCGTCTTCAAAAGTCCAACGGGGGCAGCGACCATCCATCATATTTGACAACTTTTAATTTTAATTTACCAGGTAAGGCCCACTGAGCTGTACAGCTCTCTTTCAGAAGCGACGTGGCCACAAATGATGGCTCAACGAAGTTGCTTATCGTGCGAAAATGTACGATTCTAAATGTGGAGGGGAAAAACCGGAGGACCCGGGGAAAAATCCACGCAACCACGTGGAGAACACGCACGCTCCAAATATACAGCAGCAGGCATCAGGGTCGGGCTTGAACCCCCCGACCTCTTGCATAGCAGGCGAGGAAGATAACATCTCAGCCATCGTGGCACCCCCACTATAGTAATATGGCAGGGTACAGGTTTCATGAAAGCACGAACATTGTTGACCTATTTCGATTTAAAGCTTTCGTGACTGCAGGGATTCATCTTCTTGGTTCTTTCGGTAAAGTCACGTAGAAGGAAAATAATAAAAGTAAAACATAATTAAATAATTCTCACGACGTTTCGGCCACAACGCAAGCAGCCGTCTTCAGGTGGAGAACAGGTCTGTCGAGAAGGCAGAGTCTGACAGATCTGTTCTCCACCTGAAGACGGCTGCTTGCGTTGTGGCCGAAACGTCGTGAGAATTATTTTATTATGTTTTATTTTTATTATTTTATTATTTTCCTTCTACGTGACTTTACCGAAAGAACCAAGAAGATTGTTGACTTATATTCTTAGGTTTTTTTCGGTAAAGTCACGTAGGTAAAAAAATTTAATGAATAAAAGTAAAATAAAAATAAAATAAAAATCACGACGTTTCGGAGGCAACACAAGCTTCCGTCTTCTTGTTGACTTCCCACGAAGTAGCACTTGCTTTATCGACCCCGGGGTTGATGATAGAGCGAGTCGACCCCTGACGGTAACTTGAACCCGCATGAGACATCGATGCGGCCCAGTAGGTAGAATGTCGACAATAAATGTCGTGATACAAAAAAGAGAGACTCGTTATTCCTTTGATGTTGATTGTTTATTAATAATTTGTATTTATTTATATTTCTGCTGATCATTACAACATCTTATCTTAACGTAATCTATATAGCGCCATAACCAAGGCGCCTTACAAACAATTCACATCGGGTACAGCGTGCGAATGTTAACGGTACGGATGAGGTTGAATGAAACGGATGAGAGGAAGCAATGGGGGCGAATCTGTGCTGCGTGAATTCCGTGAAAGCGAATTTGATGACAGTAAATGATGACGGATGGAATGAATGAATGGGATTGATGAGTGATAGTCATAGAATATGAATATAAGGTGGTTGTTCGGGGGGGGGGGGAGATTAAGGGGGTGGGGGGGGAGGTGGTTATGGGGTTAGCGAGGGAACAAGTAGAGTTTTGAGTGAGGAGTTGAAACTCGTGAGCGAATGTGACTGTTTAGTGCGGAGGGGGCAGTTTGTTCCAGCGAGCGAAGGGGGTGGGCGAGAAGCGAAAAAGAACGAAAGCGTGGATAGAGCACACGGAGGAGTAGGAACAGAGAGAGAAACGGCAAAGATTGAGGAGGCAGATGGCGAGAAAAGGCGACTTAGAAAGATACAAGAGTGGCAAGACATGGGGGGGCACACAGTGCTTTCTTTACGTCAAGGTATATTTTCTTTCCCCTTCCCCCACCAATGTTCGTGTTACTCTTTGGTTCTTTCGGTAAAGTGACGTATAAAGAGAAAATAATAAATTAAATACTAGCATACGACGTTTCGATTACAACACAAGCAATCATCATCAGGTATAAATTAAATAGAAACACAAATCTAGTATACTTAGAAATGTAATGTAATACAACAGAGAGTCATTACATTACATTTCTAAGTATACTAGATTTGTGTTTATATTTCATTTATACCTGATGATGATTGCTTGTGTTGCAATCGAAACGTCGTATGCTAGTATTTAATTTATTATTTTCTCATTCTACGTGACTTTACCGAAAGAACCAAAGAGTAATTCCTGCAGTCACGAAAGCTCCAAATTAAATGTTCGTGTTGTGCTCTCACTGCCGCCTCCTAATGTTGTGGAAGAAATTTCAATTCGGAACTCTCGCAGAAAGCAGTACACCACTCCGTGCAAGACTAAGAGCCTCTTGGATGGTGACATCACAGAACTTGATGCCACCTTCTCACCCCCCCCCCCTCCTTACTCGAGGTGGCCATCGCTTGACAGTCAAAAGAGAAGTAGATGAACGCCTCTACTTACGAACATTCGGCTTACGAACTTTCAGAGATACGAACAAACCGATCCGCATGTCCAGTTGCCTGTTCGGACCGAGAGTCGTAAGTGAAATCGCCTGCGTAATAGATGGCGGTGGTGACATCTACATCTGCAGAACGTGAATAATCGGTGGCATCTCCATCTACAGGAGATCATACACCTTTTTAAAGCCATTCTCCGTGTTTCGTGTACATTCCGTACAACACGTGAGGAATTGACAGGAGTAACGTTGGACTTACGAACAAATCCACTAACGAACAGACCTCTGAAACCTAACTCGTTCGTAAGTAGAGGAGTCCCTGTGGTTTAATCAATCGGACTCTTAGGTTATTTTCGGTAATGTCACGTAGGTAAAAAAAAAGAAATAAAATAATAATTATTATTTCTATTATTATTTCTATTATTATATATGAATCCTTGCAGTCACGAAAGCTTCAAATCTAGAATGAATCAATCGGAGTTGGAATATCCTGAATTACGTGAAAATCAACATTTTCAGTGCGGTTACATTTGCGTGCAGACATTGGTGACCGGGCTGAGACCATCATATCGTCATCTCAATCCGGATTAATCGCGATTGAACGGCTGAAAACCGGATTAGAACCCAGGGCTCTCATCGATGTTGGTTGGCTCAGTGTCTTGCGAAAGCAGGAATCGGATTACTGCAACCCAAGTGGCTCTTGCGTGGGTCTTCTTGGGTTCTCACTCGGTGATGCAAATTAACTTTGAACTCGTCTTTGACGCCGCTCCGGTATTGAGAAAGCGTTGGACCTCGGTCTATGTTTAGACAGCGGTCGTCCTGGATCTGCCTTCCAATTTGTGTCCGTGACAATTACGCCAGCGAAAGGAAAGTCGAACTTATTCAAAGTCAAACTGTCCACTTTACGTCATCGAATGCAAATATCTCTCAAGGTCAAAGGTCAAAAGCTGCTTATCTCCGGCGTTAAGTCTCAAATTTGCAAATGCTAAATGACTCCGGTAGAGGGTGCGGGGCGCAGTATGTTAAGTATGATACGCAATGCGACCCAAGTAATTGTGAAATCTTGGGCCACATTTGGCTATTATTGGCTCAACAGGTTCCAACCACATTACGACACTGGTCCATCGTTGCATGTTAACTGGAGCCAATGCTTTATCGACCCAGGTTGGGAGGATGATGATAGGTCGATTCGACACCTGACCAAGATTTGAACTTTAATCGAATGACCGCAGTGATACGCGGCTGTTGTGTGACTTTGTTGTTGTTGGTAGCGATACGTCAATTAATCGATTAATCTCGTGAAGAAATCTCGTGCAGGTTATAGGCAAGTCATGATCCACATCCAACATCAATGGCAAGTGCTGTCCGCTCCTGCCCTGGACCTCCCCAAATCTGGTTGTCGTCTGATGAAGCTGGTTGTAATTACTGGCGAAACGTCGTACTCAGATTGTAAATGCTGTGGTTTTGCTCTCCAACACACTGGTGTGTTGTACTAGTTATGAATTGGCCACGTTCTGTTTACGTGACAACCCTTACCAGTTGGCTGTGTCGGGTGGTGGCGGGTTTTAATGACACATTTATATATTTACGCGATCTAACCCCCAAAAAACCCTCTATTATGGATGATATTGGTCGCGAAAGCCTACTTGTTAAACTTTATTTAAAGAAGACGAACAAGAGAAACCCGCCGGAAACTTCTCCCCGTCCACGAGGACGGATCTGTAAGTCTACAATAGAGAGGCATCTGTCTTTCCTTCATGAGGTGTATGTTCCGCACGCGATGTCAAACATTGCTCGCATTCCTGGAGACAATGCCCAGCCTTTGTAGGCAAACTCAAGACATCGTCGTAACCGTAGGAGGCCCCGTTTCACCCGCCCACGTGGCACACGAAGCTGACGATGA